AGATCCTTCCAGGTAGTTTTGTGATAAACACTACGCCTTATTCAACCATCCTCCTCTCTAAACAGGAGGACGTCCAGAAAAGGCAAATTGACCTTGCTATTATTAATTTCGTTGATATTCAAATTGTGCTATTATCCACATGTTACTCATCCCATGCAAAGACAGGCTGCAGCTGATGAGCAGTCACGAAATTTTGCTTGATTAAATAAATTCTGCCGTATATGCTTATTACAAATTTTCGATTTACACTGGAAATAATTATCAGAGGCAGTAATATATTCATGTTATGTTTGCATAAGGGATACAATATATTTAAATTCTGTAGTTGATCGGCCACTTCACAACAATTGGGATAGTTGAGCAGTGAGATAGGATATAGAGGTGCCCCATGCAGCTGCTACCAGATCTTGCCGGTTATTCGTAAAAGCTAGCCTCGCCTCGGTAACCACAACGACCTGCAGGCTTATCGGAATAAGGATATCCCGCTAATACTGCTCCGCTTCCCTTCCCTTGCCTCCTTCTTCCACCTTCATCAAAATGTCCTACAAAGAAGACGACAGCACTGTAGGCAGCCAACGCTAACGTGGGCCACTGTTCCACCAAACGGAGCCATGAGCTATTGCAGCCGTATGGAATGTGTAAGTGGCCCTATCTAGGGATTTAATGCGTACACCTTAGGGGAGGGGGTGGAATCCTCAAAATGCTGGATACACGTCATCTGCTCACTGGCCGTGGCCTGGAGTTGTACTACGCACGGTCCAAACGATCAAACAATCCACCCCCTCGTCCCCACACCGTTGGTTTCTGCAGTGACCCTTCTCATTCGGGCAAACTAAACAACCTGCCTGAATGAAGAACGGCGTTAAGCTTTTAAGAGCTGACGTGGCACAAGTTTGACGCCGCTGGCCGCAGTACTATGTTTTTGGAAAATAAGTTGTGCCAACTTTTCGCATTTGTTTTTGTTTTTTTACTCATCAACAAAGCAATGCCGTGTCTTAAATGGAACGTCTTTCATTTGGATTGACTGCTCTGCGAAATAACATTCTCTACGTTGATAAAGTCTTATTTCAATTTAGCTTTCAAGCAGACACTCCGTCCTTGGATCCACGACAACTCTCCGCTTTTTCTTACGTAAGTGCAATAAAAGGTTTGAAAAGCCATCGTTTAAACATAAACAGTAACTCCTGCTCTGCAGTGGCTCGTGCTAATAGTTGCAGGATGCGAAAAGTTTGAACGAAACCATCTCTGACAAGCCAAACAACCTGTGTCTTACCGTTCACAGCGCGCGGTCCTCAGATAACATGCCTAATATTTATAGAAGAATCTAGAAGAAACATAAACGGATTTACTCCAAAAACACATACTGCATAGGCATCTCTCTTTTTTCTACCCAAAGGAACTAAAATCGTGAACTTCAAGCGAGAAATCTTATCATTCTTCCCAATTCTCGAAAATTCTCGCAGGTGTGATTATTATTAAAACCGGCGGGAGTCCAACGTTGGATCTCATACATAGGAAAACATTTTCCAGACTTTGTAATCTACCATGTGCCATTGGCGGTTTCTGATGAAAGATAGCAATATATGCGTGCATCACATCTCACAAAGGCATAAATTCATAAGGTCTTACAGATTGTGTGTGTGTGTGTTAGTTCGACCATCGCAAGCGATGATGTCCACCATTTGCCCGAGAGCCGGGACGGTGACTGTGGTCAGGCATAGTGAAAGTAGACGCACCGCCATCTATTCCACTCTAAACCCTCTCCTCTGCATCAAACAGTGACAAGACAAAGTCGAGATGACCGAGCAAAAATCAGGCGTAAGCCGCTATCTCCAGATGCAGCCACAAACCCCGCCTAACTTACTTTTTAATGACAGTAGACTTTGCGCGGGTACTGCTGCACTGTTTGCCCTCACTCACCTATAGTAGGTGTCTAGCCAGACTGTAGTAAGCCAGGACAGGTACTGCTATTTCTAATACTACTAACTAGGAGTGCAGCTGAGTGAGAGTATTGCTAGAAC